CTGTCCTTAGAGCTGCTGCAGCTGCCCCAGCCAGTGCCTGGGTGTTGGGGTGCTCCCTCCTCTGTGCTGACCCCAGGGCTGGTGCTGTACAGCAGGGGGTGCTCTCCTCTGCCAGTCACTGCTGGCCCCAGTGAGAGGCCAGGGGCTGCCTTGTTGCAGGGAGCAGGCCCCACCCAGTCACTGCCGCCCCACTGTACAAAGGCAGGATCCCAGGCGTATTGCTGTGCTGACCCCCGCAGGCTCATAGGGCAGGCAGCGCCAGGGGAGCTCATCCCTGTGGCCGTGGAGCAATGGCGGCTCTGGGCCGACAGCCACGGGGGGGGGAATAGAGCTGGAGGGGGGTTGCTCCCCCGTCTCAGAAGGGAGGGAAGAGCAGCTGTTGCCAGGACAAGGGGGAGGGGAAAGTTGACTCGCTTTTTGCTGATGCAAAAAGACCCAGAGGCAAATAGGAATTGCCAGTCAGGGCATCTGCCCCCTGCTGCACCACAGTGGGCACCCCAGCACCTGCTGCCCCAGGAGCTGGACAAGCCCAGCAGATCTCATCCTGCCCTCTGGGGTAAGAGGTGTTTGAACCCCAAGATATCAGAGGTCCTGCTAGTTCTGTGCCCATCCAGTGTGGGGCCTGTTGATTTTAGTTCCACAGAGGAGGCAGCGTTGTGGCAAGGGCCCTGCTTTATTGATGAGGAAACTGAGGCACAGAGCAAGGCAAGGACATGGAGGAGGGCACCAGCAGAGCCGGGCTTAGACTCCAGCTCTGAGTCCCAGTCCAGCACTCTAGCCCTGGGCAAAGAAAAAAGTTGTTTTAAGCACCAACCTAAGATGCTGCTGGGGCTTCTAAGCAGATACGGCCTCTTCCTACCTTCAATCCCCCACCCCATGGGGTGTAACCCCCTCCCAGCAGCATGCCACCCCACACACCTGTGCATCATGGAGAGAAAGAGCCTTTCTGCGGTGGGGGGGAATGGCTGGGGAGCATCAGAGCTTGAAACTTAAAGGCTACATCTACACTGGCATGATTTTCCAGAAATGCTTTTAACAGAAAAGTTTTCCATTAAGTATTTCCAGAAAAGCGCATCTAGATTGGCAGGATGCTTTTCTGGAAAAGCACTTTTTCCGGAAAAGCAACCGTGGCCAATCTAGACGCACTTTTCTGCAAAAAAGCCCCGATTGTCATTTTCACGATCAGCGCTTTTATGCAGAAAAGACTACTGTGCTGTCTACACTGGCCCTTTTCCGGAACAGTTTTCCAGAAAAAGACTTTTGCCGGAACAGGAGCAGCATCGTTTTTCCAAAAAAGCACTGATGATTTTACATTAGATCGTCATTGCTTTTCCGGAAATTCAAGCGGCCAGTGTAGACAGCTGGCAAGTTATTCCGGAAAAGCGGCAAAAGCGGCTGATTTTCCGGAATAAGTGGCCAGTGTAGACACAGCCAAAGAGGGAAAGCAGAAGTCCTTGCCTAGTTCTGTAGTTGCAGACAGCTGCCCTCCCTCTCCCCTCACTCAGTGCCAGGCTGGGGCTGCATTTTCTTGGGGCTGCAAGAGATTGTGTGAACTAAGGGGGCACCAAGCTGAAGCAGGTACCTCTGACACCGAGGCTGTGTCTACACTGGCATGAATTTCCGGAAATGCTTAAAATGGAATACTATTCTGTTTTCAGTTTTTCCAGAAAAGGAGCGTCTACATTGGCGGGCTGCTTTTCCGGAAAAGCCCTTTTTCCGGAAAAGCGTCTGTGGCCAATGTAGACGCGCTTTTCCGGAAAAGAACCCCGATCGCCATTTTCGCGATCGGGGCTTTTTTCCGGAAAAGACTACTGGGCTGTGTACACTGGCCCTTTTCCGGAACAGTATTCCAGAATAAGGACTTATGCCCAAGCGGGAGCAGAATAGTTTTTCCGGAATAGCGGCTGATTTTGTACAGTAGAGCATCATTGCTTTTCTGGAAATTCAAGGGCCAGTGTAGACCGCTCGCAGCTTATTCCGGAAAAGTGGCTGATTTTCCGGAATAAGGGGCCCAGTGTAGACACAGCCCAAGAGGTTTCCCAAGGAGATGCAGCCTCAGAGGGGAAGTGTATCTAGAATCTTGCTGCCTGGCTAGAGTGGCTGGGAGGATTTGCGCAAGAACACTGACTTTGTACTGTACAAAATCAGTGGTTCTTACGCAAATACTCAGACGCTCCCGCTCAGGGATAAGCCCTCTTGCACAAGTATTCTTGCACAAGAGGGCCAGTGTAGACAAGTTAATTTTTTGCACAAGAAAGTGTCTACACTGGGCACAGATGCTTTTGTGCAAAGGCACATGCCCGTATAGATGCTGTCTTGCGCAAATAGTTTAACGGAAACGTTTTTCCATTAAAAGTATTTGCACAAAATCATGCCAGTGTAGACGCAGCCTGAGTGTGACTGGAGAGGAAGGAGGAGACTAAGGCAGGAGTTGAAGGGGTGACTGGGCAAGTTGCAGCAGTCCTGCTCAGGCTAGTGGATTTAGCTTTTAAGATAATCTGTTACCATGCAAGAGTTTAGCATCACCAGAGACCGCTCTTTAGCACTGTCACCCTGTGGCACAGCAGGGGTCAAGCAGTACATCAGGCTCTGCTAAGGGCCAAAATATACAACTCCCTGGGGTGCCGATCCTGAGCACGGTGTCTAGTTCTAGCTGCCCCAGCTCAAAAAGGATCGAGCAGAAACTGGGAAAGGTTCGTAGATGGGTAACAGCACCATTCGAGGGTTGGGAAGGCTTCTAGACACCTTGCCTAGAACAATTTAGGTTCTGAGCACCCCATTTCTGGAAAGAAGTGAACAAACTGCAGAAAGTCCAGAAAAGAGCAACAAAAAAAGATGAAAAAACATGTTCTAGCAGGGAAGGCTGAAAAAAACAGGTTGTGCTTAGTCTGGATGAAATACAGAAAAAGTTGTTACAAGGAAGAGGGTGAAGAATTGTTACTGTCTGAAGTTAAGACAAGAAGCAACGGGCTCAAGTTGCAGAAGGAGCTGTGTATTTGGAAAAGCTGCTGGCTAGTTAAGCAGTGGCAGACATTCCCTTGAGAGGCTGTGGAACCTCAATCATTGACTTTGAGCAGCAGTTAGACAAACAGCCATCAGGAATGGTCTAGCTATTTCGTCCTGCTTCAGGTGTAGAGGACTGGACTAGACTGCTGGAGGTCCCTTCCAGGCCTCTGAAACCTTCCTGGCCCCCTCCCCATACAATGCACAATTAACCTTTGGAACTCCTTGTGCAGGGATGTTGATGGCCAAAAGTATAACTGAAGTCAACAAAGAACTAGATTGGAGAAGAGTCATTGCTGGTTCTTGGCTAAGGATGCAATCCTCTGCAGTGATCTGACTGCCAGAGCCAAGACTAAATCCCGCTTACCCTGTTCCATACAGATACTCCGAGGCTCTGGGACTGGCCACTGCTGGAGACAGGCATAAAGTCATCACCCTGAGCTGCTGCTTGCCTTTTGGGGGAGAGGGAGCCTGCTGGCCTCAGAGAAGCTGGGATGGGGTACACAGCCCTCCCCTCTGCAAGCCATCTGCTCCGACCATGGCTTCAAGCCCTGTGGCAGGAGAGTAGCAAAGGGCTGGCAAGTCAAGACCCTTGCCTTTTGGTGCCAGCTCTGTCCCATCCCATCTATTCCCCCCCACCCCTCCCATGCCTCCGTTTCTCCTGCACCCTAGATAAAGGGTGGGAACTTTGAGGAGAGTCTGGGTACCTCCCATTTGGACTATCCCTACAAGGCCTGCTCTTGCTCCACTGGGGCCTTGTGGGGGTGGGGAGGGGTAAGAGTTGTAGGATTTGGAGGACCAGGGCTTAAAATCCAGATTGTGACAAGCTGAAGCCCAGAGATGCTTCCCCTTCCCCTCCCCCCCCCC